CACGGGAGTGCACGGGGGCCTCAGGTGTCCCTGTGTATGTACACATGGGAGTGCACGGGGGCCTCAGGTGTCCCCGTGTATATACACACGGGAGTGCACGGGGGCCTCAGGTGTCCCCATGTATATACACACGGGAGTGCACGGGGGCCTCAGGTGTCCCCGTGTATGTACACACAGGAGTGCACGGGGGCCTCAGGTGTCCCGTGTGAGCACACACGGGAGTGCACGGGGGCCTCAGGTGTCCCGTGTGAGCACACACGGGAGTGCACTGGTGTCACACGTTCTTGGAGCAAAGAAGAACTGCAGACGCATCATGATCCCCTCCCGGCAGCCCCGGCCTCGTGCTCGTGTGGGCACAGCAATCCCACCCTCCTAGCAGGTGCCAGGGCATCACCCCATGGCAAGGGGGGAGGGGGGTGTGGGTGGGAGGCCCACGGGCTGGGAGCGGCCTGCCGGGGTCTCGGGAGAAAGGCAGACCCAGCGCTGTGGCAGGGGGCGGCGCCTCCTCTCCACCCTCGGGGCTGCAGCAGGCCCCAGCCAGCAAGCCTGGGACGAGCTCAGCGTGGACACACGTGAGGACAGCAGGAGCTGGGCGCTACCAGACCGGAGCGAAGGCACAGGGAAGCCGTGGCCCCGCTGCTGTAACTGCAAACAGGCAGGCGGCAAAGCTCCTGGTACGGGCACTGCTGTGGCGGCCACCAGGCTGGGCAGAGGGCGCGGGGGCGCAGGACTGAGGCACGACGCAGCTGGTGGTCAGTGGGGCGGCCAGCCAGCACCTTCTGCTCGTGAGCAACTTGGCCACCGCCAGCAAGGGCCAGACAGACCGATGCCCCAGTGTGAAAAGTCTCCAGCAGGACAACACACAGCCCCAGGCTGCTAACTTGAACCCCACCCGGACCGAGGAGAGAGGGCCGGCTCCCACCCAGACCGGGCCGCAGGCTGGGCGGAGAGAGGCCCGGCTCCCACCCGGACCGGGCTGCAGGCAGGCGGAGAGAGGCCTGGCTCCCACCCGGACCGAGGAGAGAGGCCCGGCTCCCACCTGGACCAAGCTGCAGGCCAGCCTGGACAGACGCATGTTGCATAACAGCTGCTGGTATTTCTCAGGGAAGGTACAGCCGGGGGAGGCACCGAGGCAGTCGATGCCAAAGCGGAGGAATTACTGACTACAGTCTGTGGCCGTGACCGGTCCTGGGCAGGGGAGAGAAAGACCTGGAAGAAGTGTGCAGGTCGGAATGTGGACTGTGAGAAGGGAGGCCCCGACTCCTGCTCTGGTGACTGCTGTGGTTACACAGGGGGCGTCTTTCATGCAGGAAGCGAGCGCCAAGGCCCTGTGGGCACAGGGCAAGCAGAGAAGGGGGAGACAGGGGCGGGGAGCGAAGGGGGAGGGGTGGCGGAGAGATGGAAGAAAGAGGGAGGGAGGGAGAGAGAGGGCAAGGGAGAGGGAGAGAGGGGGAGGGAGAGGAAGGGGGGAGATGGGAAGGGAAGGTGTGTGTGGGTGGGTGGGTGGGTGGGAGAGAGGGAGGGAGAGGAGAGGGAGAGAGAGGGAGAGAGAGGGAGAGAGAGGGAGAGAGAGAGAGAGAGAGAGAGAGAGAGAGAGAGAGAGAGACTGGAGGCTGGCGCCATGGCTCACTAAGCTAATCCTCCGCCTTGCGGCGCCGGCACACTGGGTTCTAGTCCCGATCGGGGCGCCGGATTCTGTCCCGGTTGCCCCTCTTCCAGGCCAGCTCTCTGCTATGGCCCGGGAGTGCAGTGGAGGATGGCCCAAGTGCTTCGGCCCTGCACCCCATGGGAGACCAGGAGAAGCACCTGGCTTCTGCCATCGGATCAGCGCGGTGCGCCAGCCGCGGCGGCCATTGGAGGGTGAACCAACGGCAAAAGAAAGACCTTTCTCTCTGTCTCTCTCTCTCTCACTGTCCACTCTGCCTGTCAAAAAGAGAGACAGAGACAGAGAGAGAGAGAGAGAGAGAAAGAGAGTAATGGATGGCAAACCTGGGCAGAGAGCATGGGAAGCATGGGGTTGGAACGACCACTCCCAGTTTTCTGTAAGTTAAGTCGGTTCAAGTAAACACAGAACAGAACGGAGCAGAGCAACTCAGCATCACAGTGGCGGCTCCTGAGACCCAGGGAAGACGGCCGAGGCTGCAGGTCCCCCTGGTGCTGCCCCGAGGGCGCTCCAACCCTGCCAGCAAGGGCTGAAGCGAGATTGCAGCTGGCCCAGGGGACGGCGCCCTGGTGGGTGGCTGAGACAGGAGGGTCTTCTCTGGGACCAGGGACTGGGAGGCGGGCCAGGGCGGAGCTGTGTGATGCTGCCCTGTGGCCGTGTCCCGGGAGTTCCCTCAGGAGGGCAGCAGGTGTCTGTAGCCCTCAGGACTGAATCTTAGGCAGAAAGGAGACAGGAAGGCAGCAGGAGGCCCTGCCCTCTGAGCCCATTTTCATCTGCAACGGAAATGTCACTACCCAGGGGCCCCATCCTCTCTAGCCAGAAACCCCATGGCCGGGGAGCCGCCGGGGAGCCAGGAGCTGAGCGACCAGAGTCCCCCGCACACTCGCAGGGCGCAAGGTGAGACGCCCTCGCTGCTGACGGCTCAGGGCGCTGGGGCGCAGGTGAGCAGGACACCACTCAGGAGGCACAGTGGGCGCGGGCGCGGCAGCCTGGCCCTCCCAGGCCCGCACGCTCTGCCAGACGCTGCCTCCGGCTCTCCTCTGGGTGGAAGCAAAGTCCCCAGGGCAGAGCAGATCTGAGACGGAAGCACCTGCCGCCCCGCCCCGTGCCTGTGCCCGGGATGTGACGGTCCAGGTGTCGCTTCTGACGGCTGCTCAGCTCCCCCTGCAAACGCCCCAAGGGCCCAGCACCCAGCACCTGTGCGACATCGGGCCCCTCCGCTGGTTTGGGCTTCCAGGTCTAAGGGCTGGGAGCGCCCCGAAACCGCCACACACAAAGCGCTGTGGGCTCAAGGCAGGGAGGCTGGAGCATCCTGGATTGGCGTCTGAGAATGCCTGGCCAGTTTCCCGGAAGCACGGGTGTGGCTGAAGACAGGGCGGCAGGCCCCGGACACCCCGCAGCCCGCTGCGGACCCGGAGCTGTCAGCAGAGCGAGGGCTGACACGCGCCACACCCACACAACTGATATGGCAGTTTGAGGTGAGAACACCCCGCATCTGACATGCACAGGCAGGCAGGGTGTGGGCCGAGTCACTGGTGCCCAGGTTCCAGGGAGCCGCTACTCGGAGTCAGCGGCCTCCAGCTCTCTCCTATGCCGGCTGCAGCAGGGCGGCACCTGTCACCCCGCGCAATCTCACCATCTTTGTCCCACGGACACCGATGTCCAGGGAGGGACACGGAGGCACAGTGGGCAGTCCCTGGGAGCCCTGCACCGGCCATGGTCTTCCTCTCCACTGGAGCTGCTGCGTGGGTGAGTGGCCACAGTGCCAGGGCTGCCCCTGTCCACCAGACAGTGCCAGGGCCCTGGGCTTCTGTGAGCCTGTGGCTGCCCCTTCTCTAAGCCTGCAGGCCATGTTGGAGGAGGGGCTACGAATATACCCAGTGCCGCCTGTGAGTCCCTGACACACTCGGCGCCCCGCCCTGCCATGCATTCCTAAGCCTGCACCCCAGCTGCGGGGGACGGGGCGGGGTCTCCGCGGCTGCGCTGGTGTGCAGAAGAGCAGTGTCCACACGGCAGCAGCCCAAGGCTGCATGTCAGGAACACGTCAGACACATGACAGGAGAGGCATCCGCACGCCATCGGCTGGCACCCTCCCCCGGGCTGGACTGGATCTCGGTGCCCGGAGGTAGCCACTGAGAAGGTCCTCTACGGCCACAGGCCTTGCCTGAAGACGCCCAAGGCCATGTGCACCCTCCGCCACTCACACGCACTCGCTGGCCAGGCCCAGGCTCGCATGTCAGGCGAGAGCCAGGCAGACCCCAGCGCACGTGGGGCTCCCGCTCCAGTGGCCCGGGGCATGGCTGCACGTCTCCCGCTGCATGCGGGAGCCTGGCTCCAGGCAGAGGGGTGGCCGCTTGGCTGCTGCGTCACCCTGGGGGTCGCGACCTCTCTGAGCCTGGAGATCCCTCAGCTGCCGAGAGAATGCATCAGCGCCCACGTGCCCCTGGACGTTGGCCCCGCACGGGAGACAGAAAACCCACATGCAGCACAGTCCCAGCTGTGTCTGGCGGTGCCACGGCGACTCGGGCGATGCGCTGAGACCGGTCCCGTCAGAGTAATGGGTGTGGGGCTCAACACAGAAAGGCGGAGAGGACACAGGCACCGCGGCCTGGAGGCCGGCGACGGGGGCACAGCCCGACCCCCGCGAGAATGCGCACTCCCTGCATCTGCTGTCACTCAGCTCCGGGCCTGCTCTGCTCCCGGGTTCCCGGGTTTGGAAGAACTACCCCTGGGTAGAGCAGCACCCCAGGGTGCACAGAACACGTGGTGCCCAGCAGGAGAGCACAGCCAGGCCGAGGGCAGCCGCTTCCCACTGTGGACACCTGCGGCCAGTGGGGCTTCGAGGCCAGTAACCGCCCAATCTTCTGGTTTCCCAAAAGACCCCTGAACTCCATGGTTCTGTGAATTCTCCCACTTAACAAAGGCTGTGCCAGTTGCACCAGGCACACAGGGGCCGCTGGCCAGCGCGGCCAGGCCCAGGCTCACACGGCGGGGGCAGGTGCCGGCCGCGGACGAGGTACCAGTGCTGGAAGCCCGGCCAGCATGGCCAGCGGTGCGACGCGGGCTCTGGTGACGCTCCGGGAAGGAGCTGAGGCCTTCCCACGCTTGGAAGCCCAGGCAGGCAGGGCCGAGCAGGGGCCCTCTGGGGGCGAGCAGGTGCCGGCGCTCCCGGCTCCGCACGGGGACCACGCAGCTGCTTACGGTGGGAGGTGAAGGGTGAGCCCGGGGAGGCCAAACCCTGCGAACTGCACCCCGAACCCGAGCTGGGGAGCTCTGCCCCCGCGTGGGCCTCTGAGGTGCCACTCCCCCCGACAGGAACCGACAGCTGCGCGGGCTCTGCACGCAGCAGGTACTTTATTAAACTTCAGCTGGCCGAGCAGACACGGCTCTCACTGACCCCGCGCGGAGGGCGACACTGCACGGGGAAGACATGGCTCTTGCTGACCCCACGCAGACACTGCACGGGGAAGACACGGCTCTCGCTGACCCCGCGCGGACACTGCACGGGGAAGACACGGCTCTCGCTGACCCCGCGCGGAGAGTGACACTGCACGGGGAAGACACGGCTCTCGCTGACCCCACGCGGACACTGCACGGGGAAGACACGGCTCTCGCTGACCCCGCGCGGAGAGTGACACTGCACGGGGAAGACACGGCTCTCGCGGACACTGCACGGGGAAGACACGGCTCTCGCTGACCCCACGCAGAGTGACACTGCACGGGGAAGACACGGCTCTCGCGGACCCCGCGCGGAGAGTGACACTGCACGGGGAAGACACGGCTCTCGCTGACCTCACGCGGACACTGTACGGGGAAGACACAGCTCTCGCGGACACTGCACGGGGAAGACACGGCTCTCGCTGACCCCACGCAGAGAGTGACACTGCACGGGGAAGACACGGCTCTCGCGGACCCCGCCCGCAGGGCGACACTGCACGAGAGCCCTCCGGAGCCAGGGGTGGGGTTCACAGTCCCAGCAGGTGTAAAATGAGATCCGCAGGTAACGTCAGTCTTGACCCAAACGTCATCAGCAGTCCAGAGTCCAGCAGTCAGACCGCCTCCTGCGAGGGCCCACGGTGCACGAGCACGGCCACGCGTGGCGCTCTGCAGACACCTCACAGGTGCGTTCCCATCGCACACGCACGGCACACGGACTCCCGTGTGCCATGGCTAAAGCACTAGGCTGCTATACAAACTCCTCCTGGGCCTCACCGTCCCAGGCAGGGGACCACGGGGTGGCTGTGGCCTCTCTGGGTGGCCAGGGAGGCTGCAAGCTCGTAGGGAAAGTCGCCACGATGCTGCCTGGAGACCCACAGAGGAAGAGGAACAGAGCTGGGGGTGGGCGGGTCAACGCGGCTCCCAGAGCTACGCACCTGGCCACTGGCCACCGGCCTTGCTGCCGACTGGACAGCATGGCACAAATAAATAATTCATATTTCAGAACAGGTCCTTAATTAGAAAAAAACTTACAAGACTTCACTTCAACCAGGGCAAGGGGGTGTCCATAGGACCCCCCACCCCACCCCACGTCAGGGCAGGGAAGTGGGGGGCTCTGCTCTCAGGACCCCCACCCCACATCAGGGCAGGGGATGTGGGGGGCTCTGCTCTCAGGACCCCCACCCCACCCATCAGGGCAGGGGAAGTGGGGGGCTGTGCTAACACAGGACCCCCACCCCACCCCCACATCAGGGCAGGGAAGTGGGAGGCTCTGCTCACAGGACCCCAACTCCACCCCCACGCCAGGGCAGGGAAGTGGGGGGCTCTGCTCACAGGACCCCCACCCCACGTCAGGGCAGGGAAGTGGGGGGCTCTGCTCTCAGGACGCCCCCCACCCCACGTCAGGGCAGGGAAGTGGGGTCTCAAGGCTCCCTCAGGAAGGCAGTTACCCCAAGATGTCTTCATACCATTTGCCACCAGATGGCACTGTTCTACAAATGGTTTTCAGCTTCGGGACACTGGGGAATTTTGCTAAGGGTAACAAGCCTATTACTTCCTTGGGTTAATTCTTTCCAACTGAGACACGGATGGCGTCTCAAAGCACAAGACGTGCACATGAGACCAAGTGCTCCATGGCACTCGCCACGTGAGGATCAGACACGGCTCCCCAGCAGCCACCACAGCACCACGTCCCTCGCGCAGCCCTCCGCCCTCCTTGGTGCCCAATGCGTCCAACGCGGGCCAAGCTCGGACGCCAGCCGACGGTCAGGATCGAGCTCCTGAAGACACTGCGGCGACCTCCGTGTTAATGCTACACACAGCAAGTTAGTGTCCACGTAGAACCAGACGGTGTGCACGGCTCCATAGGCTGGGGGTCCTCGCGGGCAGAGCTCCCAGAGCCCGCCGCCCTCGTCCGCGGGGGTCCCGCCGCCCGGCGCGGGCAGCTACGGCCTCTTCTTCTGCAGCACCTGGCCGTTGGTCCTTTCTGGCCGGCTGCTCTTGGCTGCCGGCTGCGCGAAGTTCCAGTCCACCGGGTTGAGGAGCTGCTGCGTCTTCTTGTGGGTCCAGTACGGGTTCAGGACGAGCGTGAGCAGGGCCAGCCCCACGAGGAAGAGTGCGAAGTGGGGCAGGTACAGGCTGCCGACGAGGCCGTCCCAGTGCCAGAAGCACACCCACCACATGTGGTAGGTGAGCACCATGCGGCAGTGGAACATGTGGATCATCAGCCACTGATTGAGCTTCCAGAACAGGGAGTCCGACCAGCCGGCCTGCGGGACACAAAGCGCACGTCAGTCCTCCTGCCCAGCCCCCGAGCTCCCGCCACCTGATCCCCCCAACACAGGTTTCCTTCAGGGCCACAGGGCCTTCCTGCCCCCGCTCGGCCCGCACCGAAGAGGGGCTGTGCGTGCGGAGCGCTGGGGCCAGCGGGTAGCCTGGGCCGTGTGTGCAGAGCCCTGGGGCCGGCGGGTGGCCTGGGCTGTGCATGTGGAGCCCTGGGGCCGGCAGGTGGCCTGGGCCATGCGGGCCATGCGTGAGGAGCCCTGGGGCCGGCAGGTGGCCTGGGCCATGCGGGCCATGCGTGAGGAGCCCTGGGGCCGGCAGGTGGCCTGGGCCATGCGGGCCATGCGTGAGGAGCCCTGGGGCCGGCAGGTGGCCTGGGCCATGCGGGCCATGCGTGAGGAGCCCTGGGGCCGGCAGGTGGCCCAAGCTGTGCGTGTGGAGCGCTGGGGCCGGCAGGCCCAGCAATCCCACTCCTGGGTGTAAACTCTGTGCCAGAAACCTGCACCGTCACTCGTGTTCACAAGTCAACAAACAGAGCAGCCTAAGTGGGCGCCCACTGATGCATGGCTAAGCTAACACAGTGCACACCCACGATGGTTTGGGATAGCGCTCAGCCACACAAGGACGGAATCATGCCACGTCACGTGGAACAACACGCATGGAGCTGCAGGTGGCCACGTAAGTGAAATAGCTGAGAACAGAAGGGCCGATGCCCTGGGTCACAGGCGTATGTGGAGCCCAAGAGCATGAGTCCCACAGGCGCTGCCACAGAACGGCGTTGGCGGAGGCCGGGCAGCTGAGCGGGGTGGGCGGGGTTGACAGACGGGCGCGGAGTGGCGGCTGCACAGGACTGAGCCACTGCCCCACGGTGCAGATTCTGCACGCGTGCCGTGCACGTCTCAGACAAACTAGAAGGGAGGATTCTGAACGTCTCCCTGACACAGACAGGCTAAGTGTGGAGGGGAGAGCCGTCCGTCCTGATTGGCGCTGTGCGACAGTCACACAGCAGCCCAAAGAGGGACATTTCACGTCAGCTGAGAGAGTGGAGAAAGCAGTCAGCCCTCACAATACAACAGAATGTGCACACAGCTCTAACCAGAAGGGCAAACATGCCACGGAACCGATGCCTGAGGGATGGCCTCAGAAATGTATCCAACAGGAGTGGCGGGTGCTGTGGGGCAGCTGTGAGCCACAGCTGGGCTGCCCGTGGCCCTGTGGGAACACAGCTGCGGGGCTGCCCGTGGCCCTGTGGGAGCACAGCTGGTGGGCTGCCTGTGGCCCTGTGGGAGCACAGCTGGTGGGCTGTCTGTGGCCCTGTGGGAGCACAGCTGGTGGGCTGCCCGTGGCCCTGTGGAGCACCACAGGGACTCAGCGTTTCATCCCTCCCCACCAGCACCCTGCTCAGGAGGCCTCTCTGTCTCTCTGTTGCTCTGCCTTTCAAGTGAATGAAAAACAATAAATACTTAAAGGTACACAGGAAAAACAGACTAAAAAAAGACCCCAAAGAAATTAACTGTGATTTGAAAAACTGAGTTTCCCTAAAAATAACTTCATAAAAATGATTTTTTCAGGGCCTGTGTTGTGACACAGCAGGTAAAGCTGCTGCCCGCCAAGGCTGGCATCGCATCCGGGTACCAGCTCATGTTCTGGCTGCTCCACTTCCCATCCAGCTCCCTGCCAGTGGCCTGGGAAAGCAGCAGAAGATGGACCAAGTGCTTGAGCCCCTGCACCCACATAGGAGACCCCAATGGAGCTCCTGGTTCCTGGCTCCAGACTGGCCCAGCCCCAGACCTTGCAGCCATTAGAGGAGTGAACCAAAGGATGGAAGATCTGTCTCTCTCCCCTCTTCCTTTCCTTCCCTTCTCTCCAACTCTCTCCAATAAATACATCTTTAACATTTGACTTCTCTGCCACACTGCACTACTGATGCTGGTGCTAAGGACGTGACCTGTACACAGACCTGCTCTGCACTGCACCAGTGTGCCCCAGCCCGATGGCGGTGCCCGGGGGGGATCAGCGCAGGCTGTGGGTGGTCTCCACGATGAGACTGGTGTCCATTCCAGACAAGGGAGGGATGGAGCTCGCCACCCACCCCGAGGACACGGCCACCAAACTCCCTCACCAGGAACAGAGGTGGCCTGCGCCTCGCGCCGGCCGTGCAGCCTCCAGCAACTCATTTTAAATGGGTGAATAAATCCTCAAAACAAACAGAAACACACCTTGTATCTGCAGGTGCCAGGCCGGGGCCGGGAGGGGGACTGCCCAGACCAGAGACTCTGAGGACGTGAGGCTAAACCCAATGCTGTTTCTGCCGAGACACTGCACGGCCAGGCTGCGGGTCCCGTGGCTCCTCGGCCTGTCCACAGCCGAGGCCACGCAGGCAGCTGGTCCTCGGTTCACACTGCCTACAGTCCCGGGCGTCCTCTTTAAATCCCAAGTGGCCAAGTCTGGGCAGCAGAGGCCAAGGTCGCTGCCAACCACCAGTCTCCAGGTCTGAGGATGGTGCGGCAGGACCAGGCTGGGCACAGGTGCGTCCTCGTTGTCACGGCTTCCTCAGGCCCAGCAGAGTGGCCCCAGGGCTTGCTCCTTGGTGCAGGTGCCCAGCTGTGCCCACCAGGGGCGCTCCTGACGGGCGCGGCTGGGGGCAAACGTGTGAATTCCAAGTCTAAAGACGTTGCTATTCTCTACTTCCGTCCTCTGTTTGTTCATCTTTAAGAAGACACTGTTCATTTTATTAGAAAGGCAGAGACACTGTCCAGCTTCTTAAAAAATGGAACATACACATCGGGAAGTGAAAACCACGGGCGCATGCAGAAGACGGCAACCACGCGGGCCCAGAGTGACCGCCACAGCCAGGCGGCCCGCGGCTGCCCGCTCACCCCGAACATCTCCCCAGGACGAGCACAGCCCCTTGTGGAAAAGTGAAGTCGATTGACTGCCACAAAAAAATCAAGTTGAGGGGCTGGTGCTGTGGCGTAGTGAGCTGAGCCTCCATCTGTGGAGCCGGCATCCCATGTGGGCGCCAGTGCAAATCCCCGCTGCTCCACTTCCGATCCAGCTCTCTGCTGTGGCCTGGGAAAGCAGCAGAAGATGGCCCAAGTGCTCGGCCCCTGCACCCACATGGGAGACCTGGAAGAAGCTCCTGGCTCCTGGCTTTGGATCGGCCCAGCTGCAGTCACTGTGGCCATCTGGGGAGTGAACCAGCAGGTGGAAGACCTCTCTGTCTCTCCGCCTCTCTGCTGTAACTCTGCCTCTCAAATAAACAAAATTTTTCAAAAAATTCAAGTTGAAACTTACTGGGAAATAGTTCACATATTCTTTTGAAAAGAATACCATAAATGTACTAGAAGAAAGCAAAGGGAATAATTCTGGAATTGTTGAGTGGGTAGTGGCTTTCTGAATATTATGTTCGAAGTCAAGAATCTCAGAAATAAAACCTGAGCTCCTAAGTGAAAAGGAAAGCTGGAAGAATGCGTGGAGAAACACTTTGAAGTCTTCAAACCAGCAGAGAAAGCCCCACCCACCAACTGAACAGGGGCGGGCCCAGGTACAGGGCCAGCACAGCCCCCACGTTCCTGACACACGGGCCTGGGTGCAGGGCCAGCACAGCCCCCACCACGTTCCTGACACACGGGCCTGGGTGCAGGGTGAGAGCAGTCCTCACTGGGAGACCCAGAAGGAGTTCCTGGCTCCTGACTTCAGCGTGGCCAGCTCTGGCTGTTAAGGGCATTTGGAGACTGAACCAACAGATAGAGATCTCTTTCCAAAAAACAACAAAAAACAAAACAAAACAAAAAAGGAAAAGCAGAAAGAAAGAATGGCTTTTTAAGATCTACAAACATCACATCTTTAAAAAAAATAATAATAAAATAAAATAAAAAAAGGGGCCGGCTCTGTGGCACAGTGGCTTAAAGCCCTGGCCTGGAGCACTGGCATCCCCTATGGGTGCCAGTTGGAGTCCCAGCTGCTCCTCTTCTGATCCAGCTCCCTGCTGTGGCCTGGGAAAGCAGTGGAAGACGGCCCAAGTGCTTGGGCCCTGCACCCACATGGGAGACCCAGAGGAAGCTCCTGGCTCCTGGCTTCAGATCAGCGCAGCTCTGGCCGTTGTGGCCAACTGGGGAGTGAACCAGCAGATGGAAGACCTCTCTCTCTGTCTCTACGTCTCTCTGTAACTCTGTCTTTCAAATAAATAAAATAAATCTTTAAAAAAATAAAAATAAAAAAGATTTACAAACATCAAGTACTGAGTTGTAAAATCCACTGAGATTTCTTTTAAGGAACAGGAAGCCCTAAAAGATGTGAAATTAAGACAATAGCATTTAACCCTTCTAATGAACACGCACGCTGTGGCACAGCCTGCCAATGACTCTGGCACGGATGGGCTGTCCTGACCACGGACCAGCGTGCAGGACACACCCACTTACGCTGTGGCACAGCCTGCCAATGACTCTGGCCCGGCCGGGGCCATCCTGGCCATTGACCAGCACGCAGGACACACCCACTTACGCTGTGGCACAGCCTGCCAATGACTCTGGCCCGGCCGGGGCCATCCTGGCCATTGACCAGCGCGCAGGACACACCCACTTACGCTGTGGCACAGCCTGCCAATGACTCTGGCCCGGCCGGGGCCATCCTGGCCACTGCCCAGCGCGCAGGACACACCCACCTTTAAGAGCATCCAGGAAGTGCAGGTGAAGGGGGTGCTCATCTCCAGGAGCAGCGTGGTCATGGCCAGGTAGTGGCCAGCTCCGAGGTTGGTCACCAAGCCGAGAAACCCCAGGAAGGCAAAGAGATGGTGGACAACCAGGAACACGTCGAAGGTCCGGAAGAACAGGTTGGACAGGTGAACGGCGACGTTTTCAAAGAAGAAGAAGCCGGTGGCGGTTGTGATGTGAAACCAGCACCAGTCCTGCTGGCCGAGCGCTTTGTCCGCCTGCAGCACTGGGTCCCCCAGCAGAGCCCACAGGCCCGCGGCCGTGCTCTGGACACCAAAGACGGCACGTGTGGCTGCCAGGTCCCAGAAGACCTTCTCTCTGGCCACCAGAGACCGGTAGGTGGCGTTCAGGGAAGAGGACAGCTGGTGGCAGACCACGAAGACGCCCAGGTAGAAGACAAAGCCCGCGACCACCAGCGTCGAGCGGATCTTCCAGGAGGCATAGTCCAGCTCAAAGACGCTCTCCAAGGGGCCCCCACTGCCGGCCGACGTCATTGTCCCACACTGCACAGCTGCTCAGCCCCACGCTGTGTCCTGTCCAGGGAGCAGAGCCGGGGCAGCCGCGTCGGGGGTCTTCATCTACCCATCTTCAATCTGCAGAAGACAGAGGCAGGTAATGCGCTCAGTGCTGGCTGACAGAGCTGGGACACGCTGCTGCCCCAGCAACACAGAAACACGCTAACAAGGGCGAGCGTGCGGTGCAGGCCCTGTCACGCTGCTCGCGACACCTGCATCTCACACGGCAGTGCCTGGCTTTGGGCCCGGACCCAGCTCCCTGCTAATGTGCACCCTGGGAGGCCGCAGGTGATGGCCTGAGTTCTTGGGTTCCCGTGATGCGACTGCCGGAGCCAGGCTGAGTTCCAGGCTCCTGCCCTTGGCCTGGCCCAGCCCCAGCTCTTGAGCGCATTTGGGGAGCGAGCCAGCAGGTGGAAGATAACTGCTTCTCCGACTTTCAAATAAATAAACATAAAAAAGACTACATTCGGTGCCTTAGTCTTCTGCATTTACAGAGATACTCAAACACAGCAAGATAACATCAACTGGTAGTACAGGAGGACCACATACAGTAAACTGAGGGCACAAGCCGAGGTGTGTGGCTGCCGTGGACATGGGGCCTGAACTCTAGCCACAGTCCACACGCTGGGTGCTCCCTTCAGAGCACCTGGGAGCCAGCTGCACGTTTGGTTTCATGGGGAAACAGAGTGGACCACACAGAATACACTCTGGTAAAGTGTCTTCCAGAACCTGGAATGAGAACATCACCTCAGCCATTTACGAGCCACGTTCAGCACAGTCCACGGCTCAAGGTCTCGTCAAGCTGGGCGTGTCTGGGTTAAAGCCCTGCTCTTCCATGTACCGGTCACGTGGGCTCTGGACTTGGGCTCAGCTCCTCATACAGAAATCGGCAGGAACGGCAGAGGAGGTAGCAGGCACCAAGGGACAGAAGCCAGGTCTGGCACGCGGTGCAGCCTGAGCACCCCGATCCACAGGTCTGTAACGCCCCAGAATCTGACACTCGCTGAGCCCCAACAAGAGATCTCAGTGGCAAAGGCTCATCTGACCTCATGGGGCGGAGCCATCAAAACACATGCTGTGACGCGTATTGTGTATTTAGTGTACTAAACGCTGCAAAATTACCCTCAGGCAACAGGTGTGAGGGGCGCTCAGTCATCCCCAAGGTACCTCCGCCTGTCCGTGCAAATGCTCCACCGCGCAACCGCGGACACTCAGCCTTCCAGGAAGGTGGCTCTCAGCCTGCAGGTGGGTGGGAGGAGCATCCAGCAGGCCAGCTGTCCTCATGGACAGCAGAGGCAGAGTGGGCCTCAGGCGCAGTGGTAACTGGCACAGTGTGAACCCACCGTCCTCAGCGCCCACCTGGGAGGAGCCCTGGACAGCCCGAGACCCGGCCACGCGTGCCGGCTGCAGAGCACGGCAGCAGGGGGCTCTGGTCCGTGGAATCTGCTCCCGTTCCACCCTCCTGGCGCCACACGGTTCCCGCCACGCTGAGAGGCACTTGCCAAGCGAAACCCCACCCCCAGATGAGAAAATCTTGACGGTTTCTCTAGCTCTCAGATGCGAGGTGCGACTTCTCACTGCAACCACGAGAAAAACACCCTGCCCTGATCGGCACACAACGACTTCACCCGAGTTCCAAACACACCTATCCTAACAACAGCGGCTGCCCCAGACAGCGGCGCGACCCCCTGCGAGCGTCCCCACTCCAGACCTAAGCGAAGGGAAGGCAGTCAGCGAGCTTCCTCCCCCACAGCGTTCCCCACTCCAGACCTAAGCGAAGGGAAGGCAGTCAGCGAGCTCCCTCCCCCACAGCGTTCCCCACTCCAGACCTAAGGGAAGGGAAGGCAGTCAGCGAGCTCCCTCCCCCACCGCGTTCCCCACTCCAGACCTAAGCGAAGGGAAGGCAGTCAGCGAGCTCCCTCCCCCACCGCGTTCCCCACTCCAGACCTAAGCGAAGGGAAGGCAGTCAGCGAGCTCCCTCCCCCACAGCGTTCCCCACTCCAGACCTAAGCGAAGGGAAGGCAGTCAGCGAGCTCCCTCCCCCACCCACCGCGTAGACGCCGAGTCTTCGTGCGCTGCGCCCTGCACAGCTCAGCTATTCGCCATCAGCCCATTTTCCATTCCGACTGAAGTCTGACTTCCTCAAACTCCGCTGCCTGCACTCGACGGGGGTCCTTCTGCTTGTTTCACTCCAGTCATCACCCTACGCGTGTCCTGAGAACCCCTGTTCCTATTTCCTGCTGGTTCTTGGCTGGGACCCTGCAGGGGCTCCCCAAGGCTGCATTCCTGCCCCGCGCCCCAGCAGGCTGTGGGCGCCTCACTCCACACTGCAAGGACGCCCGTTCTCCTTGCCTCTGGGCTTCCCGAGGGGCTGTGCTGACCTCAGCTCTCAGCTCAGCTGCTGCAGACACCCTCCCAGGCTCAAGGGGCACCGACGCACCCTGCGTCCCCCCTCTGCTGTTCCTGCAGCGCCAAACCTCCACTGGACACCCAGCTGTCCCAGGGCCCAGGCCACACCTGCCCGTCCACCTCCACACGCCACTGCCCAAGAGAGCAGGCTGTCACGGACTGCTGCACACGTATGCAGACCCACACTCTGCCCAAGTGGCCACATTTGCCTAAATTTGCACTTTTTTGGTTTGCAAAAGGAACCTGTGAATGCCCAGGAGCCCCTGCACAGAGAGGAGGCCTGAGCTCAGAGGCCTGGCCTGCAGCTCCCACAGCCCCAGGGCGCACCTGCCCCTCACCTCCTCACTCCTCTTGTGAGTCAAGGGCAGGAGCACCCTCCACCCCCACTGGAGCCCGGGGCAGTGCTGGCCTGGCTGCTACCTGTGCAGCTTCGGCGAGCAGCGGCCGTGTCGGCTGCCGGTCACATAGCCCGAACCGAAGCTCTCTCAGCCAACAGAGTGAGCTCCGGGACCTGCTGCACAGGCGACTCCCGATCTGGCAGTGGGCACGCCACGAGGGACAGCCACAGAGGTCTGCTTCCCGTCTCAAGAGCACTACACTTGGAGACAGGCAAGCTCTAGGGCAGCTACCTGGTTGTGCATTCTGCCACCGTCCTGGACCTGGGCCGGCATGGTGGGGGTTTGGGGGTCTGCCCTGAGGCGGGCGTGACCTCCACCTCCAGCACGCCCCCACCGACCGCTGGTGAGGCTCCAGTGTACTTACACAACACACACACACTTCAGGGTTGGCCTGTGCCCACAGCATGTTTAACACTGCAGCAAGAGGCTGGCAAGAGCTCTTGGCTCAGGCTCCCTGTCTCAGTCACCCATCACCCTGCACTCCACAGGTCCAGCGCCAGCCGGGGAGGAGGGCGGCCTCACCGCCCGGCCCTGCACAGCGACCCAACACGACGGCCCGTGCTGCTGACACACAGATGCCCACAAGTCAGCCAGCAGCTTGGGGTTCCGGCTCCCATCTGGCCACGACTGCATCCCGACGCTCTTGGCCGAGCCACCCAGCTTCTACCTGGCCTCTGCCTTGACAGAGGAGGGTGACTGAACAGCTGGCCCCGGGCAGTGACTGAATCCGGCCTGCAGAAGCCAGAAGCTCCCGGTCAGCTGGGTGTGAGGCACCCCAGGGCACCGAACCAAGGGCTTAGTGGGTCCCCCTCTTGGTTTCACTGTTTAGAAGCTAAGACAACAAGTTTCTTGTGGTTGTGGGAATAAGTGGCACACACACATACAGCACAGTGGGGCATAAAGCTCCTACTATGTGCCAGAAACATTGACCTTGTTTGTCTAACTTCACAACACAGAGAATGGTTTCCAGGCCTCCTGGGCCCCGTTTGGAGATGACATCATCGACAGAGAGAGAGCCGCAGACAAGTTACCGACACAGCCAGGCAGAGCTGAGCCCGGTGAACCTCCCTGCAGTCCAGGGCAGGCGGCAAACACAGACCCGGAAGCAGTCTCAGAATCCAATCTCAGCCTTCACACCTGCCACCAACTCCCCAGCTGCAATTCCACCCAGCAGCCCCTGGCCACGGCACTCCCCGTCACCCTGCGCACCCATCTCCGGTCTAACCTGCGACTGGGGGCCCATGGCGCTCCCCGTCACCCTGCCCACGCGTCTCCGGTCTAACCTGCGACTGGGGACCCACGGCGCTCCCCGTCACTCTGCTCACTCGTCTCTGGTCTAACCTGCGACTGGGGACCCACGGCGCTCCCCGTCACCCTGCGCACGCGTCTCCGGTCTAACCTGCGACTGGGGGCCCACGGCGCTCCCCGACACTCTGCGCACGCGTCTCCGGTCTAACCTGCGACTGGGGGCCCACGGCGCTCCCCGTCACCCTGCGCACGCGTCTCCGGTCTAACCTGCGACTGGGGGCCCACGGCGCTCCCCGACACTCTGCGCACGCGTCTCCGGTCTAACCTGCGACTGGGGGCCCACGGCGCTCCCCGACACTCTGCGCACGCGTCTCCGGTCTAACCTGCGACTGGGGCCCACGGCGCTCCCTGTCACTCTGTGCACGCGTCTCCGGTCTAACCTGCGACTGGGGACCCACGGCGCTCCCCGTCACCCTGCGCACGCGTCTCCGGTCTAACCTGTGACTGGGGGCCCACGGCGCTCCCCGACACTCTGCGCACGCGTCTCCAGTCTAACCTGCGACTGGGGGCCCACGGCGCTCCCTGTCACTCTGTGCACGCGTCTCCAGTCTAACCTGCGACTGGGGGCCCACGGCGCTCCCCGTCACCCTGCGCACGCGTCTCCAGTCTAACCTGCGACTGGGGGCCCACGGCGCTCCCCGACACTCTGCGCACGCGTCTCCAGTCTAACCTGCGACTGGGGGCCCACGGCGCTCCCCGACACTCTGCGCACGCGTCTCCGGTCTAACCTGCGACTGGGGGCCCACGGCGCTCCCTGTCACTCTGTGCACGCGTCTCCGGTCTAACCTGTGACTGGGGGCCCACGGCGCTCCCTGTCACTCTGTGCACGCGTCTCCAGTCTAACCTACGACTGGGGGCTCCAAGTTTTCTGAGTGACAATCAGCATCCTCCAGCCAGGGTGCAGGAGTGCAGCTCATCCCTCAACCGCCTGAGCTACGCGGGTGGAAGGCCAGGCCCTGCCCA